AATATGTCGCGTATGAAACCAAATTACGAATAAAAGTGACCCATGATTATTTTTATATTGTTTATGACCAGTATTGATTTATGTATAGCGCTCATGACAATAAAATTTGTCAATTTTCGACCTTAAATTGCTAAAATTGTAATGATTTCATTTGCTATACGTTTCATTTAAAATTAAATTATTTACCTTACTATGAAGTATCTAACACATCTGCGTGTTTCAAATCCCAATCTGTCGCTTTTAGGCTATCATTTTGACAGCAAAAACAAGATGGCGGGCATGATTACGCGCGAAACCGATTGTCACGAGCCCATTCCTATCGTATAGAACTGCACGCGTGCCTAAACAAAAAACTTTTAATATAAAAGAAATTCCTTTTAGAAAGGGTTATTATATTATTGCCATAAGCAGAGTGTGATAGTAAGTTTAATAAAATATTATTTGTATGACAATTTTGTATCTTAGCTTATAGTGAGCTATAATTTTTCTTTTTTTTTTGTAAGACAAAATTAAACTGTTAAGAATAAATATATGTCTTTAAAGGAATCTTGACAAGGAAAGGCGTAAGTGTTACACACGGAATGGTATTTGTTAAGTAATTCCAGGAATGTATCGCGAACCGTGCGTTATTATGCAAAAGTTATCTTTTGAAACACGAAATTGAAAAACTCGATACATCGTATGAGGAATATCGTGCATCCTCAATTCGGTCGACTTATAAATAAGTATGGAGTCGTGAGTCGGCCAACGCCGCTGGCCAAAGTGGACAGATGCGCGGAAGTTGGAAACATGAAGATTTTTAATGCATAATTGGCTGTCGCCTCAAGCTTGCAGAGATTTGCTGAAAACATTACTTGTATTATAACAAACAAAGAAATTATCTGACATTCTCATTTATGTGGTTGCTTAATAACATCGTACCGTAACGTATTCCGTTTTTAAATTCGATTCCCATAAAATCTTCACTCACGTGCGTGTACCAGAACCTTTTAAGAAAACCATCAAAAATTATAGAAATCCGGTCTCAAATATTATGTGATTTGTCTCGGAACCCACACACGTTAATTGTTTTATACTTGCCAGGTAAGAATCTCGTAATTATCCAAAGGTGCACACAATGAGAAAATGAGCGGGAAAAAATAGACAAAGGATGACCGACGACGCCATGTTTTTTTTTCTACGATCGTACCTGAGAGGTTTCGAGGCCCAATTCGAATGTTTTAGTTGTTCTATTTGTATTTTTTATTGACGCTCAATATTTCGTTTGCTTTCACTTGCACCGGCAACATTTTTCATTTCAATAAAACTCTATTTGGTTACAATTTGTCTTACGCGTGAATTTATATAGACTTAATTGCAACGATAATACGAATTATACGCAGCTTCTAAACGGCTACATTGTAGTAAAAAATACCTATATTTTTTGGTACGTATTTCTAAAAAAAGTTTAGCAAATATAAAGACTAATTCAAAAGTTAATAACTTTGGTCCCAAATTAATACAGGTAATCAGGTTTTTCCATCAAAAATATAGTATAATTTACCCAGCTATTTTTTTTAGAAAATAATGTAGCAATATTGTAAATAATTTAACATTTAATTATAAATAATATTGTAGATAATATTTAAAGATAATTTATAGCAAATTTCAATTAATTGCATATGCTTTACCATCATGAGGCGTTCGGAAAGAGTATTTTCTTCCCAAATCTTGGAGATAAATTGAAGATGGTTCAGGGGAAAAATAATTACCGTAAAGGTCGCTACACGGCTATCAGGCGCCTCTTAAAACGAAATTTTAATAAAGCGAATAAGTGGCCATTATACCCGTCATTTTTCAAGATGGCCGGAACAATCATGCTGCTTATGCAGTTACTGTAGTGTAGGTATACTGATAAGTGTTGTTATAATGAACTATCGCAAACCAATCAGTGATATTTTATCTTAAATACAATATTTAATGAAAGCAAAAACTTTCAAATCAACGGGAGTTTGATAGATACAGAATTTATTCAGAACTGGAGTTATTTATCTTACGTTTGGATGGATGTTTGTGTGAAGGTATCTTCAGAACAACTGAACGGATCTCGATGAATTTTGTCATAGATGTAGAACAAAGTCTGGAAGAACACATAGGCTATTAATTAAGTTCTTTTGTTAATTCCGCGCGAACAGATTCGCCGTCTACAGCTATTGAGTCATAAATTTTGTATCGAATCAGCAAACAATAGACGACTGAATTGTTCAGTTTGTCGCAATTCAACAATTGTCCCGGCAACAAGAGAATAACCATCAATTTGACGGTCACAGAGCAACGAACAGAGAGTGCGACAAGACCAATAAAACGCATTCCTACAGAGGATACATCGGTGTTTTCACGCTCCAAAAGTCAACAGTAATTGTTGGTAATCTGAACCATTTCGGAGGATTTTCAATTAATATTTTACACCGTGAAGTTTTCACATGTAACTTATAGATATTGTTTTAATCTTATTACGACTATATCTTTATTATTAAAAAAAAATTAAAAATTCTTTATTGACTAAATAAAAAACATTTTCACAAAAAAATTGTGGGCTCTGTCTCCTGAACTAGTAAATACTGTGTTTCAGGAGACAGCACCTTCTCTTATCTATTGCCTAAAGTTTATATAGATTCTTAACATATATGTAATTAAATATAGATTATTATTATTTAGATACAAATATAAATACTAGATATATAGTGTGCGATTGTGTGTGTTTGTGCATGTGCGCTTGTGTGCTTAGGTATGTATTGTTTCGTTTGTGGTTTTTACTACTTTTCTCCGAATTATTATTTATATTGTTTATGTTATGTATTTATTCTCTCATGTTTTATTATTATTAACTTATTTATATGTCAGAGTACTTTCTGTATATACTTTTGTCGCGATTAGTCTTGCACATAAAGAAATGTTAGGAATGCCATCATTGCTCTAGAATACCACAGTCTGTCTAAGCCTAATCGATTTTCTTAGACAATCTCAACAGATTGAAGCAATAATCTTTCTTCTGTCGGATTTTTATTTACCATTTAACACACCATATTGTCCAGCCTCTATTAAAATCCAGTATCAAGATTATAATTCTAATATAGGGAGAAATTCTACTCGATCTGTCTGCTCTGCCTTATCTGCCTTTGCTGTTGAATAACTTAGTACAGAGTTAGTCAAATTGACAAGTTTAATATAATTTCGTATCGCCTTAACACTTTAAAGTTGGTTGTAACCAAACTTACAGATGTATTCATACAAAAATATATCAACAAGTTGAAGGTAAAAGTGCGTATTTATCGCTTATTTATGAACAACCAGTACAAAAACACGAATACAACATTTAAAAGTCTCACGCAATACATTACGTTGTTACTTGGAGCGGACAGTCAGACAGGATAATGCGACGCGGCGATGTACAGCGCGCAAGACGTACAGTCATGTGATTGGATGTTTAATGGTATGGTAAGAGAATGCGGTTCGTGAGAAAAAAAATAATCTCGCTTCCGATGCGGTCCGCTAGATAGCGCAGGTGGTAACGCCTCACGCCCTTTCAAATTTAGACGTGGACCTTTATTTTTAAGGTACTATGCTTAATATGGATAAGAGTGGTCCTTATTTGGTGTTAGAGTATTTCCATTCTAGCATAAGTTCCAAATAAGTCGGCTTTTGTATTAAATGGATAACTTTCCACTTTGAATACAGCGATCTAGAAGCACCAAGACTTGTAGAATAAACTAAAAGCCGTAAAATTACTAACTTTTATACTAGCTCCGGAATCCGTCCGCGTGGAATAATAAAAAACTTGGTAAGTAGCCTATGTGTTCTCTCAGACTATGTTCTACATCTATGCCAAATTTCAGCGAGATCCATTGAGCCGTTCCGGAGATACCTTCAAACAAACATCCACCCATTCAATAAAAGCGGAGATTTACACTTTACGATATTAAAAAAATGGCCAAAGAGTATGTGGGTCAACATAATACCAATATATCATCATCGACGTTCGCAATTAGTAAGTCAAAGAAGTGTTTCAATTAGTTTTCTTATTTGCCTGATCCCAGAAAGTTATTATAAAAATATGAATATGGATTAAATTACAATAAAGAAACAAATGAATACTATATAATCTGTTGATATTAAAGCTGTCATCAGATCGCTAGGAGTGTGACACAAAAAATATAGAAGCCGTGGCACACGAACAGAAGTCAATCGTTGACCGGTTTTTGAGGGCTACGGAATTCAGTAGCACGTCGACATTGTCTTTTTATTGCCTACTTATTATGAGCCAGGCCCTGGGGCCCTTTATGCCTTTGTTATGGGGACACAGGACATTTTGATTTGTAAATATTTATGAAAGGTTTTATTATACAGTTTCTTGGAAAATGGCTAAGGATTCGAGAGTATTTTCTGTTTTAATTCAAAAGAATTACTCAAGCATTAGAAAAAATTTACATTTAAAATATTAGAAATAAATAGATTCTTAGTGAAACTTTTTTTGTCTTAACTCACACGCCACATCTCTAAATTACCTCCAGTTTGGTCAGTGAAATCATCAATAAAGGAATAAAACATTAAATCAACACGATCATAAATGTCCGAACCAATTAAAATCAAAACCTTTTATTGCTCATCGAATTTGAGGCTAATTGCGGTAAGCCAGAAATTGCTACAGCATTTACAAGCATGGGAAGTCGTGGTTACGAGAGATTTGACTTAAAACACGTTTACTTTGTTTAAGGATTTAGATTAAGGTCGTTTGTTAATCGCCACAAAGCTTAATACCCACAGACTATCATAACTTAGACATGATCGATCTATAATATGGAAGATCTAACTACTGTTTGACTGTCTATCGACCATCTACTTCTTTCTTTTATAGCTAACTAAAAGCTAGGAGTATTAAGTCTGCCTTTCTTTATCCCTCCCTACTTCAGAGGTATTACACACTAAAGTGTTCAGTTCTTAAGCCAATAATCTATTTGCAGGTTGAGCCAACCGGCTCTGCGTCCCTAGGGGCAGCGTCAAGAGCTCTCTTTGTTGAGAAAGTACGCGCCTCCAACGCAGCGTGCCAAGCCGGCGACTTCTCGACAGCTGTTGCGCTATACACTGACGCGTTGACACTAGACCCCGCCAACCACATCTTATATAGTAACAGGTAATGTGTACTACTCAATTTGAAAGAACAATAATAAACATATTCAAGTGAATAAGTGAATACTAAAGTTAGTACACCTCTGGAAATATACTAAGAAATAATAGCAATTTATTTTGTTTGATAGAATTGCTAAAATTTCTACGAAGTAGTCAGTGCCAACCAAAAAGTCATTTTTAAATCTTACCTAACTAATTGTGGATAAAACGAAAACATATTTGGCCATAAGGTATATTTAGCGTAAAAGTAATCAAAAATTCTATTTCTCTGACTCACAAAGCGTATTTCAATCCTTTTTCATATCAAAGACAAACACAGACATTAGTCGTTTCGAAATGTGCTACTTTGTAACAATTCACACACCAACATACGGTTTTCATCTTTATCTTTTATTGCATAGGTCTGCAGCTCGTTTGAAGCAGGGCCAGTTCGCGGCGGCTTTACAAGATGCGACCAGGGCACGTGAACTCTGTCCTAACTGGCCGAAGGCTTACTACAGACAAGGTAAACAGTAGCAATTAGCTTTATACTAACTTTTAAAAGTAAACTAGAGTTTATTCATAAATATTGACCGGCAACGCATCTGCGGTTCCTCTGGTATTGCTGATGTCCATTGGCGTCGTTGAACACCTCGGTGTTCCCGTTGCTCGTTTGCCCCTTCTGTTATAAAAAAATCAACGTAACAATATACCATCAAATAGTCGTATGCAGTTGTAAATAAAAAAAATCGCAAATGGAACTATAAAAATGGACGATCTATGTAAACTGCTAACCAGATATTAATTTTATAAATGCATATTTTTTTAGAAAATTAAACAAAAGAATGTATGAATGTGAAATGAAGTTTAAGACATGTAAATTAAAAAAGCATCCGTCCTTTTGTATCGTCATTCATGGCAAGAGATCAACCATATCTATTTCGATCATTCTTATCTTTTCAATGTTAAATTATCTGTAAACACATCACATCGAGGAAGCTATTTTCTCTTTGAAAGTTAAACTATGTTAATAAGAATAAATATCACCAAGTAATCAATGATTCGAATAATTAAACAGTATTCCGATGAAATGCAATGCATGCGGTTTGCGTTTTCCGCTTTTCTATTGCAAATTGTCATTAACCTCTGCTTTCACTTTTCTTGCGTGCTAAGACGCTCTACACATTTATCTTACTGGCTTATGATAAATTTAAATTGCAGTCAATAATTTTAATGTCTGTTTAAATCACTTATAATGTGACTAGTTCTATAATAATATATTCGTTAATAAATAAATTTATTCTTCATCTCTTCTAAGATGGCCCAATCATTATCAGTTCACTATACGTCTCCGCTGAGGAGCTCCGAGCCTACCCTATGTTAGGGGTGACTAGGCAATAGTCAACCACGCAGGCCCAGTGCTGGTTGGTTGACTTCACATATATCTTTGATTTTCTTCGCAGATATGTGCATGACCTGCAAAATACAAGTCAAGGGCTTATCCACTGAGCCATCGACGCTCTTTAAAACCGTTGAAAAATGGCAGAAAGCCAAGCCTTTTGTTTTTTACGCATTTAATACTAGTTTTATATTCATCAGGTGTAGCTTTACAATGCCTGGGTCGTCATGGAGAAGCACTGGCCGCGTTCAGTTCGGGGCTGGGAGTGGAGCCGACGTCGCGGCAGCTGCTCGCGGCGTTGGTGGAAGCGTCCCTTAAGTCTCCCTTGCGCGTCACATTGGAACCAACCTTTAGGCAGCTGGAGGCTATGAAGCTAGATCAATCACCGTTCGTATTGATATCGGTGAGTTTTTATTACAATTGTTTATTTAAACGACTGTGGAAAACATATGACGTAAGTATAAGACTTAAAAAAGAAAAATTCAACCAGTGACCAAGTACTGAATATATTTATGTAATTTAATAAGATAACAAAGCATATAAATATAATTTAAATTGTATAATTCTGTATAATGACATATGAATACGTAATGTACGATAATTTACTTCCATATGAAATGTAAAAAAATACGCTTCATTTATTTAAATTGGTAGGAAATGATCGGGAGTCTGTCTGTCTGTCGAATTTAAACAGCCGGCTTTTGACTTCCTGAGAGCTGTGAGTGATCTGATATCCAATAGGCCGGACGCGATGCTTTAAATAATGCGGTATACATTGTTACCGAAATAAGGATTGTTATACACCTTTGGAATGTATATTAAAATATATTATATACATATACAGTATGTTCAAAGTTTTTTTTGGAAAAGAATTAATTGAATTATTTAATTGTTATTTATATAGTTATATTTGATAGTTCTAACTTAAGTTCATACTCATCGTAGTTAACAGTTAAAGAAACAAAAAAGTATCGACACTATAAAGAACCTTAAATGTTAATCAAATATCTCGGTATGCGAGAACGTAGTTTAAAGGCCCGCTTACACAGGCCAGTTCAATTTGCATACGCCGCCCGCTCCCTGTCCGACGTCTGGGCATTTTTTGGCGGCAGTTAGTTCGGACAATGGGACTGAGTGATCAAAGAGCCATAAATACGCGAACCCCCTTCGCATTTACATACAATCTGCGAGACAGTTGATCGGCAACGTAGACATTGCGTCGTAGACAAAGAAAATGGCCGACATTAACGAGACGCTAAATTGAATAATATGTTGGGATTTACAATGTAATACAAATTCTCTCTTGTTTATTGTATCAGTGAATAGTACCTACAACACATGTAAATTCAGAAATGTAATATTTGCACCTGTACATACATACGTAATTAGGTCGAGAACCGAATAGTTTATATCAAAGCTTTTGACAACAAAAGCTTTGATATAAACTATTCGGTTTATATCAAATTTGATGTAAAATCGGATTGTAAATATACCTATTCAAACGCTTTGTTAATACCAAATAGGTCTTATTACCTACTAAGGAGGTCGGAATGGCCCTCCCATGTTACGCTTTATGAAGAAATGTATTTAGAAAAAACTAATAAAACAAACTTATAACTCCTATACATGTGTTTCGCAATGGGTGTTCCATACAAACAAATGTATAACCCATCACATTACTTGAAACAGAAACGCCCAATCCCCCCCTAAATGTTTCACGGCGTCGATCAAAGCATCGAAAGATGAGTTCTTAAAAATTCGTCGCGATTTTTTTGTTTTAGCAAATGATACTCAAATTCTCATTTCAGTTCATTATAACAGAGATGCGATGGACGGGCAAAATGACATCTTATTGAACTACAAATATGAAACAAAAGATTAACTCACCGTGGGTTTCTGAGACCAAAATCCCTGTTCAAAATATATTGTTATCCCTGTTATGTCGAAGATGAAAGACAGGCATGACGATATGTTTTCATACAAAGATTTTTGCTTCGAAAACCCATTATCATACCACCATATTAGGCTTATATTTTGTATCTTACAGAAAGCCTTTATTGAAGAGTTCATATTAACTTGCTACCGTTGGTTTCTGAGATTAAAACCTTCGTATAAAACATGTAGTCATCGCTGTTATTATCTTTGACAAAAAAAATATAACTAAATGTTTTTAACAGAAAATTTGATCTAAGAAACCCACGATAAATAATAGTGTGGACAATCCTTATTAGTCGTATTATGCATTCCGTTTCGGGTTTTAACCTTATCAAAATTAAGAAACCACAGCGTTACTTTTAAGATAATAATCAACGAAATGGCTAATAGAAAAACAATTATCGTAAATTGAATTACAATTATTTCAATATTAAAAATATTTATTGTTATTTAAATCGAACTAAACTATTTAAAAAGGTGTTTCACTACCAATTTACATAAAAGTACTTCAAACAGAAATATATCGAATAAGATAAAATTCTATAAGATAAGAATGTTTTTTATAATTCCTTTTCAATGCGTTCACGAAATATTTAAGAAGAAAGTTTAAAAAGAAGTATTTCAAGTGTTTATATTTGTAAAATTATATTTTCAACCAGCTTGTTTATTGTTATCGTGATAGAAAATAAAAATTTACAGATTAAAAAAAATACATGCTATAGATTAAAAAAAACTTTATATTAGAAAGCTAACAAATTGGATATGTTACAGATACAATCTTTGTTAATTCTTCGGAAGAAATAACACAGTTTTTTTTTTCAAAGTTTTAATTTATAATAGTTTACTGAAATACACTATATGCATTTTATAACTAATACCAACTTATGTTATAATATTTAGGATATTAAGTTCATGGCTTTAATGAAGTGATTTTACAGGTGGTCGGTCAAGAACTGCTGGCTGCTGGGCAGTACCAGGCCGCGGTAACGGTGCTGGAAGCTGCCCTGAGGATAGGATCATGTTCCCTAAAACTAAGGTAAGGAGACACACTTGTAACTGTCGCCCGCAACTTCGTCTGCGTGGAATTAAAAAGAAACTTAATAAGCAACCTATGTGTTCTTCCATACTATGTTCTACATGCCAAATTTCAGCAAGATCCATGCAGCTGTTCCTGAGATACCTTCAAACAAACATACATCCATCCATCTAAACATTCGAATTTATCATATTAGTAAGATAAGGTACTAGATTTTGGTACAACCATCGGGTCCTAAACAATTAACAAAAAATAATGCCGACATGTCTTTATGAACTTTTTTATCTGGATGAAATGATATGTATTTCTATCAATAAAATTCCTTTATATCTGCAACACTCATTAAATTGATACGGGATATTCGCCGGAGTACGCCGCCTTTATTCCCGACTCGGCTTAATATAAATCAAAACGTCGAAATTCCGCCAAAGATAACCGTACCCTTAAGTACATATAAATTATTCCACTGTCAACTCGTTACATACGAGCGGTGATTAAAAATAATAACTCTACGCCATTAATGAAGCTGGATATCGTTGCTTGGAAGCCGTTCCTCTTACTCTTATTAGGTCAGGGCTTCTAGTGTACTAAAACAGCAAAAACATTTTTTCACATTTTTTTTATATGAGCAGATTTTCTTGTTAATTTACTAATATTTCTTGTACCATTCCAAGTAAGCTCTATGCGTGTGCTAGGATATGGTTTACAAAAATAGTGTTATAGCGGGATTCGAACTCTCGACCACGTGATTGGAAATCCATATCCTTAACCATTAGGCTATTGCCGCTTAAAGATACATATTTTCAAGTATATCACTTAAAATATTGCATTTAATGCACATTGTACTTCTTTGTTTACAAAACTTAAGCAAACATTAATAGTAGTTAATTAAGAAATTCCGACCTTTTTTTTTGAAAAGCTACTTGTTTCTTCTATTTAACACAAGCTCTGAGCGTAATTAGATTGATTACCGATATTTAAAAAATCTGTTGAACTACGTATGTAACTTAACAAATATCTTTCGCATCTAATTGGCCGTTAATGTATATTATTTTAGCACAGAATTTGGTTCGTTTAGTTGTAAATAAACAAATTACTATGTATACGAGGGTAAAATTGTGAAATAAATTAAATATTTTTAAACATTGATTTGTTTTTGAAGTTGCGACTCGTTGTTACGCAGCCCTGACTTATTCGCGCACGATTCAAAGTGTGAATCGAAATGTATAAAATACTGAATAGCGTGCTGTATGAGAATATAAATCAACATAATTAAGACATCAATTATCAGAGCTTTATGGCAGTTCCTTACAAGGAGTTTTTTGTATGCTACGAGTATAAAACAATAATAAAACTTTGCTGCAATTCAATTGCTTTTTCAATGTACAATTATTACCAGTTACTTATGTATTTTGGTAATTAAAACTAATATTACCAATATTACAATTACCAGTATTACGAGAGAATTGATTGAGCTGTTATTATTTCTAGAGATACAATTTCAAACTTAAACCTTACTTCTTACTAATATTATAAATGCGAAAGTTTAGATTGATGGATATTTGTTTGAATGTATCTCCGGGACGGCTCAACAGATTTTGATCAAATTTGACACACATGTAAAACATAGTCTAGATGAACACATAGGCTACTTACTTATTAAGGTTACCGACGAAGTCGCGGGCGACATCTAGTATCTCTAGTAGTAATTAATATCTCTTTTCAATTGATATTTTCTGGAATAAATATATACAACAATTTTAGCGTGTTATCTTTGCTGGTTACAGTGTTTTTTTTTATTGAATAAGCTAACACTTGACCACGATACCACCTGATGTTCTCTGCTTTTGAAGGGTCCTGAGGATCGTCAGATTTTTTGACAGAAAATATTAGCAGATTTCTTTTAATTTACTAATATTTCTTGTAAAATATTACTTTAATTTTTTGTAAAATTCCAACTAAGCTGTAGGCTTGTGCTAGGATATGGTTTACGACAATAGTCGAATGGCGCGATAAGAACCCCCAACCTCGTGATCGGAAACCCGTACCCTTAACCATTTGGCTATTGTGAAAGTGGTATTGCATCAATAGCACTGTAAATCAAAGCTTAATGAAGAATACTTCGCTGAAACTACAAGCAAAAGCTGTTTAAGCGAGAATTCGTAGGACTTAATTTTATCTACAATTTTATAGGCCTTTCCCATTGATCGCTAACTTAATAAGATATTACGTGTAGCGAGGCGCTAACCAATGACTGTGAGGTCATTAACGGTGCTCCTAATAGCATCATAAAGTAGCTAAACCGATAAAGGTTTGAATATTTGGTTGGCTGGCGAGAATATCCTATCTTATTTATTGTCCTAAAGTAACATTTAATATAACCATTGTTTTAGTCTTACGTACGACAAAGTTATTAAGTTAAATACTAAGTATAGGAATTTTAAGTGCTAAAAATGTATAAGTATATATAAGTATTGATAAAGGTCTCAATTAATTAAGGATGATGTATAGTTAATTGTTTTTCCGATCTCGAATTGGAAGTCTCGCTAACTCTTAAGCGAAGATTTAAATAATTAAAATACAAAGTGAACACGACGGCAACATTATTGAATACCTTAATACAGACTCGTACAATGGGGTCCATTTAAATACGCGCCCACTTAGCGCATTAAACACTTCAACGGGTCCCAAAATTGTCGCCGCGGTGACCGGCGAATAAGGGCCCGCGTGAAACCCACACCTCGACCTGATCTTATCGCCCTTTGATGGATTGAAACCGTATCGATACGTAACCGATTTATCCTAGGGATGTACAATTTATCGATAGGAGTCGATTTTTAATGCAACATATATCAAATATTGATATTTCATTCAGGATTTGATACTTGTAGTTTGATGATTATATGATTGTTTTAAGTGTATTTGCTCAGCAATATATTTAACATTGTATCTTTCTTCGTATTCTGGTGTAAAAATCGCTTCTTATAAAATTTTTGTGCCTCCAACGTTATTATCAAGTAAAATAAGAAATTTCATTATTTAATCACACCATAATTAATGTTTATATTTGACTAAGTAAAACATAATTGTGTAAAATAAACGCTTAACTTTGCGTCAATATTGAATAAAACGATGTCTGTAATTTATTGCTTTACAAGCGGTCGCCCACGACTCCGTCTCCAGGGTATAAACAATAACATAATTAGCAGAGTGTGTGTTCTTCCAGACTCTGTTCTATGTATATGCCAAATTTCATCGAGATCCGTTAAGCCGTCCTGGAGATACCTTAAAACAAACATCTAAACATTTGCATTTATAATATTAGTAAGATATGTTTAAACATAACGAACATTTACAGCATATTCAGAAGTCAAACCATTGAACACTTTAGTCGATTCTAGCTATATTTATTCGATTTAAATATATCGATAATCCTTCATCGAGCAGCAATATCCCATCCCTAATCCATTCCATCCGAATACATTTAAAGGACATTTATTTTTTCGATTGTTATCTACATAGATAACAGTTGACTGACGATAAACAATAAAATAAGTTACACAGATAAGTGAAACTGAGAAGCTAGGCGAGGTATTATTTCGGTATGGGACGCTCCATTGAATTGATAAAATCTCTTAAATATACAAAACATCAGTTAACTGTATACTATTGTAGTGTACGAGGTATAGACCACAGATAATTTATTATTAACTTTATTTAATTGCGAAATTGTTATATTATAATATATTTAATTTATATCTTACTAATATTATAAATGCAAATGTTTAGATGGTTGGATGTTTGTTTGAAGGTATCTCCAGAACGACTGCATGGATCTCGCTGAAATTTGGCACAGATGTAGAATATAGTCTGGCAGAACACATAGGCTAATTAGATTTAAACACATTTAGATTTTAATAATGCGTGGACGGAGTCGAGGGAGATAACTAGTTGTAATATAAAATACTGTTACAACATTCATGTCTTTATCGCATTCTGTTGCAAACTTATAAACACAACATATGCTTTCCTCTCTTTCTTTTTTTAATATACCACAAATAATCTTTTTTCATTTAACTCAACGTTCCCAGTTTTTCACATCAGATATGAATTAACAATTGTGTACTAGGCTATCATGAGCTTAATAAAACCTACTTAAAATATGTCATCTCAGTGCGAAGGTGTGGAGTGATACTTCAAATTACATCACGAAGTGATTCATTAGCTGGCACTCGAATTAAAATATTTATCATCGCCCTTTAATCGCTTTACGAGAACCGGCCTCGCGGGAAGCCGCGGGCGGTCCCTTTGTTGTTTGACTTTTTGTTCCCGCAGTCGAAATTTGTGCATTGTCCCTTACTTTGTAAGACAAGTGTGTTGACGTGGTATGATTTTATTATTGATAGATTTAAGATTTCTAAATCAGCTATGCAAATATAGGCAGATTTTTTTTTCAAATTAATTAATATTATGGAAAATAGTTTGAAGTTTGTTTTTATGTTTCTTTTGTTATAACTGGCAGTTAAAATAAATAATGAAAAATAGAACAATTTTCAATTGTTAGAACAAATTATTTTAAAGTTACAAATACTTTTGAACTAAATAAACAGAAAAAAGAAAAAAGTATTAAATGTATGCCATAAAGTAACATTGAATCTTGCTAAGGGTTCAATTTTCACCTCCTGTTTGCAGGGGTTCAGTGTTCAGTGCGCTATCCTCAGCTCATTGGGCGCTCAGTCAGCTGGACGCTGCAATTAACTACATGCAGCAGGACCTGGCCGTTGCCAAATCTCTAGGAGATACAGCTGGCGAGTGCCGCGCGCACGGTAACCTCGGCGCCGCCTACTTCAGTCAAGGATCATACAAGGACGCGTTGACCGCGCATAGATACCAACTGGTCCTAGCTATGAAATGCAAGGTTAGTACAAGATTTATTTTTTATTATAATATTTGCCAGGAAAAAAAAGTCAATTTCTTATTTATTTCAATGAGAAGTCGTTTTAAGCCAGCAAGCATCCATTGGCCCGCGCCGGACACACCGCGCACACGGCCCGCAACAATTGCTTGTTTATAAATGCTGTCTTTCGATGCAGGCAGCGCGGATAGTAGACGGAACGTTATATAAAATTATAAAAAGCAAACTAAATTACGTTGCGGGCCGTGAGTGTGGGGCGACTAAGGACGCGTTGCTTTAATGATCAATTTTGTCATATCGTATTGTTTTAAAGAATGAAGATCCAAAAGCATCCTGTATCGTAAAAGGTTTATGAATAAAATTAATTCTTTAATTAATCTTGTTTCGTTACGCATGTTTTAAGCTCGTCTATATTCAACTTCCGTTAAAACTAGTAAAGTAAGATGCAGAGAAATCGCAATTAGTTTTATCATAAGTTACGTAAACGGCAATACGGAATTGTTGAAGTGGACATAGATACGGTTAATTAGTCTATATCAATGATTTATTGTTTGTTATGATTGTGACAGGGATTTATAACTCACAAATAAACGTTGGTAAAGAAAGATATAGATAGGACATAGATCCTATTTCTATTGGTCGTTTACATTTTATTCTAAAGACTTCATAAGCTCTCTACTTTCTTTATACTTTTAGACATTATTAGTTAGAATCCTTTAGCGCGAATGGCGCGTTTTCGTTACCAAACGTTGGCATTTTAATAAAGAAAGTGTTGCGCCAATACACCGGCACGGTGTCGGAATTACTTCCTAATACATATATACAAAACTAATAAAAATATCTCAAGGTTTTCTAACACATTTAATGCCACGTACACGGCGCCGAAGACATATATTACGTTTATTACTAAAAATTACATACAAGGATGCATCTTACAATGCAATCAGCATTCTATGTGTTCATATTTAAAAATAAAATCAATCATAATGTAAGTAACTTTAATTTATTAGAAAGCTCAATTTGGTAGAGTTTATCATCGCCCGATTTAAACAACTAACAGAAATAATAAACGATCCAGCCTTTAATCCTAACGTAGAGTGGACACGGACAAGTCTACACTGAATATTAAAATCAGTAACATTAATTATAATCAATTGAAAATTAAAGTGACACTTAGCATCGTTTACCTTGACTAAGATTGTCATTGTCCGCAGCAACCATTGTCGACAGGTCTGAGACGCCCACGTGTGAAATAAGCATACTGGTTCAGATCAACCAACCGGGTTGGGAGTGAATTTGTTAAGAGATAAATAAACTTTATGATTCAATGGCTAAGCTAGCTAAATAATTTTATATCGTATTCATAATTATTCATAAAAAAATATTTATAAAAATTGCGCACCTAATTTAGAATTGGCCTCTTGAATTGAACTTTTAGCAATAACGCGCATCGCAATATATGTAAGTTCAATTATATGATTTTATTACTAAATTATTCAAACTTTCGTGAGACATTATACTAAACTGATATATAAACACGGCTAAACGCTCGCGACGGCCGAAACAATACCAGTACCACTCATACTGATAAAGGGCCCCCGATGGGCTCGAAACTAGTCGGTGCCGCCACCGTACGAATATACGTGAGTGTTTAGCCGTGTTTATATATCAGTTTATGATTTTATTACGTTGAATTATTGTAAAGATGCAATAATTCAACTTATTAATTACAAAATTAAATTGAATTTTTTAAATTTTCCCGATTTATATAAAAAAAAGAATATTTCCGAAACATAAAATCGTGTGGTGCCTTTAATCAGATAACTTAATTTCAGCGCACACAAAAGAACCCCGAATTCTTTATTCTTATTCTTTTTAGTTCAACAGACGTTCGCAAATAAACATCCTGCACCTCACGTTTACACATTAAAAATAATTCCTTACGTCTGTATGCCGTGCAACGAGAGTTCCCAGCACGTTTTTAGGCATCTTGAATATTCGTGGCCGTTTAATGGTCTTAGCAGATTTGTTCGCAATGTTTCTCGTATTATCAGAGAACTTACGTGTGCACTAAGGGTATGGCCACACCAAACACATCAACCGTGGTCCTTCGAGCACCAGTATCAATGTACTTTGTAAATATACTATGAAGTAAGGTCATAACTTGAAATATCTGGGCAAAAGTTGACTTAGAGGTGACGTCTTATATACTTCTACACGTAGCCTTTATATCACAGACTTGATTGGATGTCTTTTACAAGTACAAGAATGGTAGAATAGTATTTGTCTTTGCCCCTTTCTACATTTAAGTCAGTTTAAAACTAGGACAGAACAGTGGGAACGAGCAGTAGACAGTGCCGTATTGCTATTATTTGAACGCACACTTTGGAAAACAATATTATACTGTCTTGACGTATGACAATAGAATGCTGACGCCTAGCTGTTCTAGGCAAAACAGCAAGGCGAGCAGTTGTTCTTGAAAGCGAGCATGTTGCATACAATTAAAACGCTAAAATACGGCAACACTTTAGGTCTCAAAGTTAACCGACTGACACATTATGTTAATGTGCGGCAACATTTGCCGCTTTTACAGCAATCTCCTTACCGCACGATCACCGGCTCGTTTTATCTTGATCGCGTATTACGCTTATGTTAACGATGTTTAATTTAATATTTTTATTCTACAATTCACTGTTTTTTAAACGTTTGTCGGGCGCTGCGATTATAATTATCTGCATTTGCACGTTACTTTCTCTATTGACCTGACTCGTTTGAATATTTATATCTTTTCTTTACGTCACTAAAGTACAAATCAAAACTAAGTAAGTTAAAAAACAAATTAAATTTATTCTGAATATCAAAGTGCACTTGAAGTTATAGATCTTATTTTCAAAACAACGAATCACAGTGGTAATTTAGGGAACACTTAATTATTGTCTTTTTTCTACATTAACCTACAGAGTTAAAAGGTTTGATGACTCCACATACCCAGAGTCCGGCCAAGATTTTTCCATCAATCTTTTAATTCTCCTATTGTTTACTTACAACACCGAAGGAGAATGTACACTGCCCCTTAAATAAAAACAAACATATAAAACATTTTAAACATTTCTGCTAACATTCACAACACAAAAACGTACAACTGAATAATGTCATTAAAAATAAAAACAAAAGAAAATAAAATTAGAAAAACAGTGTACAGGTGAAACGCGAGCACATGATCCACACGACGAAACATTCCGACGAACAAATAGTCGTAAAAAGTATTTACTTTTAGCCGTTACGGACGGATGGCGCACAACAAAAACTCAGTGGTCGATTTGAAATAACCGCGAAATAGTGGCGCGGGCGGTGGAATTCGCCCGTAGCCCGTAATGTGAGAACTCGACTCAGTAATCACTACGATTCACGATCTAGTACTAGGAATGTATACGGCTTTTTATAAAGGAAATCCGCCTCCGGTTTTAATCTGTATTTTTCTGTTATACTCATCTATATATTTGCGTTCTTAAAAACTTTAATTATAATGTCCTTGTTTTTAAAATCTCTCAAAAGCTTTTGCAACTGATGTTGCATAGTTTGCAAAGATGGTATATTACATTTTTAACAGCGTTTTACCTTGGGTTTCTGAGACTAAAATCAAGTATAAAACATAACGTTATTCCAATCTTTGACAAAAACGACAAAACAATTTGATTTCAAAAAACTGCGATTGGTCGTTTTTGCATTGTTTTTTAAAAGCTACGAAATATTTTTACTTTAACAACTTAGATCTTATCGTCTTCTGATTCAAGTGTTATAAAAAAATAATTGCATTAATAATTTCTGAACATCCTGTATTAAAAATGATCCTCCACATTGAAGCGGGATAGTTTCTAAGTCTATCTCGTAATTACATCGGTGTTAATGTAGATAACATAGATTTATTACACCGCGATATAATTACGTACATTAAAGGACGTGCAACCGGTAAATTATTGGTGTAATGTATTCTAAAGGTGAATCTATATATCAAAGTAAGTCGAAGTAAAGTTAAGGCGCCACAGATCGCTTTACACCGCGTACATATCATGTCACAGGAAAATCTTGAACTCTGCCAATTTGTAAATTGACAAGAATCTTTATATTTTGGTAATTTTTAAAAGTGACACTGTCATCAGTGGCCAGTGCACGGCCCTTTATTGGCTGCAAAGAAAAGCAAAACCAATGAATGTTACCTTTACAAAATACCCAAATTGTTACAACTCATTTTGTGATTGAATTCGTTCCATATTCCATTTACTGAATCTTAACAATTATCCGGGACTTAATGTTTACCAAATTACAAACAGGCTATGTACACGATTTGCCTATAACATACTAAACATCAATATTTTATCTCATAATAAAAGATGCGCGACTTTATCGGACATTAATAATATGCTAAAGTTAGCAACCTTAAGGCATATGCGAAGATTAAATAGATGCTTGAATACATTAAAAACATATTATTAATATATCAGATGTAAATAGAAGTTTTTTTCTGAACATATTGATTTCTGACCGGTTTTCATAGCTACTAATCGCATATGGGTTTCATACTATTATTGTTATTATGATTCAGTTTAATGTTAATAATTATAGTAATTTAGAATAATTACTATATCTATGGTAAAAACTCGTATGTGCACATAAAGTTACAAAATCTTTATATATATAATTCTTCTGTGAGTGTGTATGAACTTCTCTCAAACGACTGGACCGATTTTGATGAATTTTATTGTGTGTGTTCAAGGGGATCTGGGAATGGTTTAGATTCATAATTTTGTCCGCTGGACAATGTTTTTTTAATTAATTTTTAATTTATTAGTAGTTGTTGAATTTGGAATGTTTTACATTGGATCCTATAGACGGCGCTACCATTGCAGCGTCAAATTTTAAATAATATTCGAATTAAAGACGTGTAGACAGGACAACGTCTGTCGGGTCCGCTAGTATCTTACTAATATTATAAATGCGAATGTTTAGATAGAATGGATGGAAGTTTCTTTGAATATATCTCAAGAATGGTTGAACGTATCTCGATGACATTTGGTACACATATAGGTGATAGTCTTAAAGAACACATAGGTTACTAATAATGTTTTTTTTAGTTCCGCGCGGGCGGTGTCGCGGGCGATAGCTAGTAATATATAATGTGAAATATTCTAAAGTTTATTAAAGTACAACCTTCAATATATGCTGTTCAAAAAACCTTATTTTAGTATATAAACATATCACCTATAGTTACTAAATGTTCTCCACATAGTAGGTATCCATTATATAGAATGAAATACACTTTACATAGTTTATTGGTACAATTATTAATTGGTTCAATTTTCATCAGAATTACAACGAAAAGTTGTTCAAAAGCTCTCTATAGTGAGCGACCTTTATTTTCGATGATTAACAACAGAGTTGTAATCAAAATATAGCTGCATATAAAATGCATTTTTATATCTGCTTTCTTTGTCCAAGATACATACCAGTACCATATTTTCAAGTCACCTACTTATCTAACACGATCTGTATAACCAGTCTGTTGCTGGAAAGGTAATATAAATCATAATTACACTGTCACAGATCATAAATTAGCTTGTCTTCTATACCACTTACGATATTGAGGTCTCATATCAAGATGTCTCGTCTAATACAGACTACAGATTTTTCATTAATATTGCTATCACTTCCTTCGTTGTGGGGTAGATGTCGATCCTCTTGGTCATCACGGTTTAGCATGTCGTCGCAGTGCAGGACGCATTCCGCGCCATGCCGCTTTAAATGACGTCATCCGTCGAGCCCTTGCCTCTTCCGGCGTGCCGGCAGTGCTTGAAC